GTCTGAATATGTCCCACCCTTACAAGCACCAGTTCAAATATTGTTTCGTTCTTACTAGCACTAGTCTCTCACCCTCAATCTCATATAAATGTTCAAGTCATATGTTATTTAAATAAACCTTTGAACTGGATTATGTGTTAAAGTGGATATTTGAGCCATACTGTGAGACAAGACAAGTTCTCCAGCTATGTTAATGACCGGTTTCCTGGTGGGTTCTGCCCATGGTTTCAAAGATTTATAAACACTAGAGTCACTATACTGAACATTATTTAACCAATAAAAAGGGGATACTGTAACTTGTAGATGCTTTTTCTTCTTACTTCGGGCAACAATATGTATAGACCATTATCACGATACAAGAGAAATATGTTATGATATCGACATTTTGCTGTTCATCTACACTTTAGTTAAAGTAGTGCATATAATCTTTAGTCTGTATTAGAATATTTTGGGGTATGCATATGAATGGAACATAGGGAATGCATCTGAATGGTTCACAGGGAATGCATTTGAATGGTCCATATGGAATGCATCTGAATGGTTCATAGGGAATGCACCTGAATGGTCTACATGGAATGCATCTGAATGGTTCTTAGGGAATGTACCTGAATGGTCTACATGGAATGCATCCGAATGGTTCATAGGGAATGCATCTTAATAGTCCATAGGAAATGCATCTTAATGGTTCATAGGGAATGTATTTGAATGGTTCAAGTATACCGTTTCCTTACCTACATAAGTCTAAATGTGTATACTAATCCAGGTGAATGTAAAACCATTTTAGACTGGTGAAGGTGAAAGACTAGACAAACATAGAAGACGAGATACCTGATTAAACGTGTCTCAGTTTTATCTAGACAAGTCTAAATGTGGTCAGAGTGAGTATGTATGGTCTATATTTTCCTGAGCAAAGGAAGTGGTTCAGAAAATCATAATGATCATAATACCCTTGTTCCTCTATTCTTGCATTATCAGTTTATATATAAAAGGTCAAGTTCCTGGGCCATGTGTTCTTTGAACAAACCTTTGAACTGCATTATGTGTCAACGTGGATGTTTGAGCCATACTGTGAGACAAAACAAGTTCTCCAGCTATGTTAATGACCGGTTTCCTGGTGGGACAGACCAGGGTTTCAGAAATATATAAACAGTAGAGTCATTAAACTGAACATTTTCTAACCAACTAAAAGGGGCAATGTAACTTGTGACGAATATCGTTTTTCACCTACACCTTAATTGAAGTAGTGCTTGGTATAATTAGCCCATATATATATGTAGCCTGTATTCACAGATAACTTTATATCAGGACATTTTAATTTGCATTAGGCATTTTTGAATATTACATATTGACCATATCTAAATGGTTCATATGGGATGCATATGAATGGTTCATATAGAATGCATCTGAATGGTTCATAGGAATGTATTTGAATGGTTCATAGGGATCGCATCTGAATGGTTCATACGGATTGCATCTGAATGGTTCATAAGGAATGCATCTGAATGGATCACGCGCATTGCATCTGAATGGTTTATAGGGATTGCATCTGAATGGTTCATAGGGATTGCATCTGAATGGTAAGTATGGGATGCATCTGAATGGTTCATATGGGATACATCTGAATGGTTCATAGGGATTGCATCTGAATGGTTCATATGGGATGCATCTGAATGGTTCATATGGGATGCATCTGAATGGTTCATATGGGATGCATCTGAATGGTTCATAGGGATTGCATCTGAATGGTTCATATGGGATGCATCTGAATGGTTCATATGGGATGCATCTGAATGGTTCATAGAGGAAGTATCCGAATGATTCATAGGGATTGCATCTGAATGCTTCATAGGGATGGCATCTGAATGGTCTACATGGAATGCAGTGAATGGTTCACAGGGAACGCATCTGAATGGTTTATAGGGAATGCATCTGAATAGTTCATAGGGATTGCAACTGAATGGTTCATATGGATTGCATCTGAATGGTTCATAGGGAATGCGTATGAATGGTTCATATGTCTTGCATCGGAATGATTCATATAGAATGCATCTGAATGGTTCATAGGAAATGCATCTGAATGGTTCATAACGAATGCATCTGAATGGTTCATAGGGATTGCATCTGAATGGTGCATAGGGATTGCAACTGAATGGTTCATAGGGATGGCATCTGAATGGTCTACATGGAATGCAGTGAATGGTTCACAGGGAACGCATCTGAATGGTTCATAGGGATTGAATCTCAATGGTCTACATGAAATGTATGTGAATGGTTAGTATCGGATGCATCTGAATGGATCACAGGGAATGCATCTGAATGGTCTACATGGATTGCATCTGAATGGTTCAAAGGGAACGCATCTGAATGGTTCAAAGGGATTGCATCTCAATGTTTCATAGGGATTGCATCTCAATGGTTTCCATGAAATGGATGTGAATGGTTAGTATCGGATGCATCTAAATGGTTCACAGGGAATGCATCTGAATGGTTTACATGGATTGCATCTGAATGGTTCAAAGGGAACGCATCTGAATGGTCCAAAGGGATTGCATCTCAATGGTTCATAGGGATTACATCTCAATGGTTCATAGGGATTGCATCTCAATGGTCTACATGGAATGCATCTGAATGGTTCATATGGATTGCATCTGAATGGTTCAAAGGGAACGCATCTGAATGGTCCAAATGGATTGCATCTCAATGGTTCATATGGAATGCATCTGAATGGTTCATAGGGATTGCATCTCAATGGTCTACATGGAATGTATCTGAATGGTTAGTATGGGATGCACCTGAATGGTTCATAGGGAATGTATCTGAATGGTTCATATGTGATGCATGTGAATGGTTCATATGGAATGCATCTGAGTTGTTCATAGGAATGCATCTGAATGGTTCATATGGATTGCATCGGAATGGTTCATAGGGAATGCATCTGAATGGTCTAAATGGAATGCATGTGAATGTTTAGTGTGGTATGCATTTGAATGGTTTATAGGAAATGCATCTGAGTACTGAAAACTCCTTTTCGAAATAAATAATGGCATTAATTAATAAGTAATTTAGATTTAGTTTCATCGTTCTTTTCAAGAATTGCGTCAGCGAGTTTGTCAATAACAAGCAAACTCAATTGTGTTTATACCAAAATAAATATTTTATAGCCAGTGTGTATATGACTTTATAATAAATACCAGGTTTGACATTTTAATATATACAAAAACAACACACATGAAATACACAAATACATGACACCATCATCCGCTCGCATGGTTTTGCACATGAACAGAAATCACTCTCTCTGCGTATAAGCTAATATAATTAATAGTATGGGAAAGTATGTTTATTACGTCAACAATTAAATAATAAATAGGACCATAATTTTATCTAAACTCATAAAAACAGTAATTATTTTATTAGTGCGTTCCAAAATAGGAGGGGGTACTTATAAACAGACAACAATAATATACCGTTGCTGGGGAGGGGGTCAAAACCCTAGTTGTCAAATATTAAACAAAAATGTGATGAGAAAATTTCACCCGCTTTAAACAAATTTGTCAAAAAAGAAAAAAACAGAGCCACATTGATTGTTGAAAATTGTGTCCGGCTTAAGCACGGTCATTAATATTCAAAACAACTTAAGACACCGGCGTCGATGTACAAGTATGCTATACTGTGCCAAGTTCATTCAAGGAGAATAAGCGGTAGCACACCACATAGTGGTGAACGAGGTACAATATTGCCCTTAAAAGCAAATCACATGCAATATTTGGGTATTATTAAAACTTCAGAGATAAGTGTAACAATTACACTAAGTTAAAATGTTTTGTAGCATAATACATGCATTGAGAATAATGGAGTTTGATTGTTGATCTCATCGTACAACGGATCATATCTGTATTCCGAACTTCCAAAATAAAAAAGCATATTTACGTAAGTTTCTTATTCAACTAGGAAAACAGACCATCAATCTTAAACTACACTGAATAATATATACCTGGTCTCCATTCTCCCTCCATTCCGCTAATTTTAAATGAAATTAATATCTATCGGCGGGGGAGGGGGTACTCGGCCCAAAGATGACACGTGAAAAGGCCGTTTCATTTAAATCGGCTAAAATAACACAACTTACGTGATCAGAGTTATCAAAACAACCATTTTCTGAAAAAGAATATACAAATTTAATAAAATACTAAAGTCTTCTACCTGACTGATATTGCAATGAATTCACTACCATGGAACGCAAATTTTAGTCCACTCATTAATATGTGAATTACTGTTTTGAACACTCATGAATGAAATACTTAAACTGTGTCTGGTCTTGGAAATTGAAAAATGGAATTTCTTTGAATGGGTTTAAAAAATGAGATTCATAACTACGTGTTTAGCTCCCAATTCCAAAATTCAATAACATACATGATATCCCACACTTTAGGTTATTGTCTCCAGAGTATTATCTGTACAATACGAAAGACAAATGATATATTTAATCACATGACACTCAATGTATAATAATAATATTAATAAAAGTTTCTAAAAGTCAACCCTGAAGATATTACAGAGGTTATGTTTTGCCAAGATTTGAATTTATCGAGACAGACCGATTGTATTACGATGATCTCATCCCTGTGTTCTCATTGACGGTGTGAGACCTATAAAAATACCCACAATACATTGCTACATCCGGTAGCCTATCCCACTTCCTTGTTTACTGAGAAGACGTGCCCAGGTTCAGATTTGCGGAAAGTTGTCAAAAGTTGAGTGAAGTAAGTATATTTTGAAGTTATATATCGTTCTTCGATATGACTTAGGTGTATTGTGGATGCATATTATTTTATTCAAGCGATGGGCGTCACACAATATAATCTGAGAGGTGTGACAGACATGCTTTGAAATATTCAAAATGGCGACACTGGCTGAACTTTTTGTGTCTCAACTTTGTGAAGGAACACTTCTGATTTGTGTTTTAGGAGTTGTTTATATCATGCACACACGTACTAGAAAATAAGGCATAATATGCTGTTAGCTCTTAACTCGTATCGTTCGAGATAAGTTGCCACGCCCTCAAGAAGCTTCTTCGTGTTTGTTTTACTTCCACCCCAAACGCACGCACTTCCTTCGTTTCTGTAGTATATGTGGGATATATATCAATGGGTGTCTTATGATAACGTGCCACGGTCGCTAGTTACTTGTTTATAAAAACATATTTTACTGTGAGTGGCGTGAGGGTCGGATGTGTTAGCCTTAGAAAATTCTTGAAAGTCAGGTCGGGTGTGTGTGTGTGTGTGTGTGGGGGGGGGGGATCTACATCCGGTTATCTCTTGCTGTGCGCTAACTGCCACTTTGTTGACACATGTCGATCACAATAATTCTGGATTGCTTTTGTTTTTGATTAAAATATTAATAACTAGTATTTCTCAGTGTTTGTAGTCTTCAAATATATGTAGTCAAACATTTTTTTTTAATGAGAATGTCAGATAATTTTTGGACGAAATTTTCTGAACATTATGAAAATTGTATGACATTGTTTAGTTTAGTGGTCTCAAAATTGCCACTATTTTCATGGATGTGATTGGACATGTCTTGTCAAGAAAGTAGACTGTTAAACTGTAGTCTTTCACACACAGTATTCAGCAAACTAGGCTTTATAATTGAATGAGTCATTATGGGCAAGATGGCTAATTAGCCTGCAGCTGCCTTCTAAGGAAACATTATAAATGATTTTTTTTGTTAATTGAAAGTGATTATAAAAAAGACCACAACACTAAGAGGTGGACCAAACATCCAAAATGCGTGACCAGGTGCATGAACTGAATGTATAACCATGAGACTGACCTAATTGTTACATAAAATGAAACAGGTATTCAAATTACAGACAGGATTTTTATTCAATTGTGCTGTCAATTTTCGCTTGGAGGGCTGCTATTATCACTGTGTGTTACAATCAAATAAAAATTACGAATAAATTGTTCATGTGAAAGTGACTGATGACTCACTTCTATTCGTCATTTCCCGTATGCTAATTTCTTGAACCCAAATTAATTAAAGTAAAATGCAATTTAATTAATTAGTGATAGTAAAAAAAATAACTTCTTATTTATAGTTGTGCTATTTAATTGTACAGATAAAAATTAAGACTTTGCTATGTGTGAATTAAATACAAATTTTAGATATATTTTAATAGTAAGTTTCTTTTTTCTGTGAAACAAATAATGACTTGATTACAGAACATTTGTTATGATTTGATTTAAATCTGCATGTATATTGAGCAGAAAATTCATGCACAGAACACAGTGGAACATTGCAGACAGTATACAAATGGACAGTTATTGTCCATCTATTAAAGAGAATTTCTCAATTATTTTTTTTTGAAAAAACCAAGCATTTGTAATTCCAAAACAGTTAAACCTGACAAATATTAATGTATATTATTATACACCAATCACCGTAACACCATAAGTTACAGCGTGTCGTAATTTTGCAGTATTGCATTGGGTATTTTTGTTACCATATTAGGAAACACAAATTCCAAATGTAGAACAATTGTGTGTAAGCGTCCTCTAATAATAATGAAAATAAACACATAAAGAAGTTTGCTAAATCTGTTCTAAACATTTTGGAATTCAGCATTCCCATGATGTATTCCTGGGAGTATCCTTGTAAGAACCTCATAATATTCAAATTTATTCCTGTTTCAAGACAAAAATACCACCATGAAGTACCAGGATGTGTTACTTTTTGGGTCATGCATTCATAACAATGTACATATATGCATTCATAACAATGTACATATATGCATTCATAACAATGTACATATATGCATTCATAACAATGTACATACAGTACAG